TGGCTTTTTGAAACTTCGGGCACAGGAGCTTTGAACCAATAACACTAGGAAGTAGACTGTGGTTGGAGAATTAAACAGACAAACAAAGAACCCATGGTCTATTTCAAGCTACTAACTCTATGTCACTGATCCCAGAGTTGAGAGACAGTGTGTACAATAGTCTGTCACAGCGGTTATCAACACCCTCCTTGTCTATCTCAGCTTTTTGTTTTGTTTTTTTTCTGTCCTTTCCTTTAAAAAGTCTTTATATTCTTCCCCTCCCAAATTGTATAGCCCTGCCCATATACTGCCATCCTGCCATGGAATGAGTCTACACCATCAGCCTGTGTTGTTATTGCCTGTATGCATCACTAGGTAGATCATAAGCTACCGAAGGGCAAAGACGTGTAGAAGTATGTACAGTACCTGACCCATAGTCGATGCTCAGTAAATATGTGTTAAATAAAGTAGCAAATACTTATAAGAATATGCTTACAAAATAATTTTGTGAAATAAGAAAAATGTTTTTAAAGAATCTAGTTTAGTAGCAGTAAATCAGTTCTAAGGTCATAATGTATACAGGACACGCACATAAATCCTATGTACGTTGATCCTATGGATCAGGGAAGGAGTGCATGTTAAGTGACAGAATCCACACAGCTCTCACAAATGTTCACGGAGCACTGACTCTGGGCAAAGGCACTTTTCCAGGTGCTTCGGCATTTGACAAGGTAATGCTTCACGCTCCCTTCCATCCAAACCACATAGAATCTTTTACATGAAATGTAGGATGTGGTATCAGGCTCCCCATTTTACATGTATCTTGACTGTATTCATTTAACTTTCAGAGACATTTAAAGACTAGAGTTTAAATTTAATACAAATTCCCTTTAAGAAAGATGTCATTTTAATACATAGTTGTTGATCCATTGATGAATTGGTAGAGACATTTAAACTCTATGTCTTGATAATAAAATCTAGAAATGACTCATAAGGGCAAATAACTAAGAACTTTAAGGCTGTTAAGAGGATCTTAAAATTGCCAGACTGCCATTTGGCACAGCCGTCAATGCCCATTGCCATACCACTACCATGTTAGACTTAATATTATCTCTTTTGCCAATCTGTGTTTATAACTTCAATATTATAATTGGGCCAGATGCGTTATTAAATATTGCTACCCATACTTAGGCCCAAATTGTGGCAGAATTATGATAATTATTATGTCATTGCCTTTGATCCAAAAAGGATAAATTACAGTTTTCTGAATCTGATAAAGTAGGAGAATGTACTCATAGAAATGTGAAGATACACACTCTGTCTATATATAATTGTAGTTACATCCCGAAAGCATATAGCCCTTGGAAAACTAGGGAGGTTGTTAACTCTATTGAGAAGATGCTTAGGAAGAAATTAGATAATTAGAGAGCCAAGAGCTCCAGTGAGGAAACACTCTGCTAGGAATCTCCAGAAAATTCACCGTGAAGTGTTTAAAGACAATGAGCAATAAAACATCTACTTGAGCCCAGCCCATGTTGCTCAGTGGTTAAACATCGACCTAGGAACTGGGGTGTGGGCCCCATCCCCAGTAGGGGTCATGCAAGATGTGGCTGATTTATGATTCTTCCTCATCACTGATGTTTCTCTCTCCCTCTTTCTTCCTCTCTGAAATTAATAAAAATATATTTTAAAATGTTTTTTTAAAAAAATGAAACAAAAAAATTTTACTTGAGAAGATCCAATGATTAATTCCAAAGGCAAGGACCCTGACAGAGCAACTCGTTTGTAAGAAAAATTACAGTCTTTCCAAGAAACCAAAGACTAAAGTTGGAAACTGTAGTTTGGGTTCTGTTTCTGATACTGAGAGCATTACTCTCAGAATCACATGGTGATACTCAGAGGTGAAAATGAGATTCACCTCAAGGATAAATAAAAATAATCTTCAAAGGAATAAAGCAGTCAAATGAATAGAAATCCAGTGTACAGCTCATTTATATTTTCTACCAAATATATCAGTGTGTCACGTAGATAAGGATACAATATATAAATAGTAATATACATATTTATAAATAAATGTATCTATCTATAAGTGTCTATCTTTTTGGAGTATGTAATCCTACATAATAAAAGGCTAATATGCAAATCAACTGAAGGGTGGAATGACTGGTTGCTATGACATTCACTGACCCCCAGGGGGCAGACGCTAAATACAGGAGCTGCCCCCTGGTGATCAGTGTGCTCCCACAGGTGGAGCATGCTCAGCCAGAAGCCAGGTTCACGGTTGGCGAGCGCAGTGGCGGTAGTAGGAGCCTCTCCTGCCTCCGCAGCAGTCGGACATCCCCTGAGGGCTCCCGGGCTGCAAGAGGGCACAGGCTGGCCTGAGGAACCCTCCCCCCACCTGGAGTGCACGAATGTCGTGCACCAGGCCTCTAGTCTTATTAATAAAACGGAGTATGCCAATCGAAGGTTAGCTCATACATTAGACATCCTATAATGAGGCAACAGGTTAAAATGTTGTGAAGATAGGGACTATCTCTTAATGAATCTCTAAATCCCTGGACGTACACATGGTACTATGGCCATGAAGATCATCACCAGTGTTGTTCTTATCAGTAAATACACAACTTAAGCACTTCACAAGTATTTACTCATTTTATTTTCACAAAGACCTTACGAGATAGATTCTAGAATTATCCACATTTTACCAACTAGGAAACAGAGTCCTTGAGTAACCGGCAAGGTCACATAGGCAATGAATTATAAACCAATGTTCAAAACCAGGCCGACCAACAGGAAAAACTATAGCCCTTGACCCTACGGGTTGGGAATCATCTATCCATGAACATATGCCCTATAAATATGTATTGTATAAATGAATACAAGTAACATAGCTGGCAGTATATCTCTTTGCAGGCCAACACAGGGTTTGTGGTGGGCAGTGGTTGCACTAAAGGTTACCTTGGCGAACAGTACTCTTCTCTTCCTTTGCACCTTTAAACCAACCAGAAATATGTAAAGGCAGCTTCCTGTATAAATGCAGGTTTGAAATCGGAAATCTAGCGGACTTTCCCAAGCACGTTCCAGCCCGTAGGGTCTTGTGTGTTGAAATTCGGGAGAGCCACTCGCGCTGTGTTACAGTGGCAGACTGCTGTGACTTTTGATGCTCAGTATATGTCATACACGTTCATTCGGCCACGCAGCCACTCGCACACCCATTTATCCATCCAATCAGCGTCGCTTGCACACATTGTAGGAGTCAGGTACACTGCCAGGCATTGAGGAGGACACAATGTAAGTATGCTTGTTTGCTGATCAGACTGGGTACTGCATCAATGTTTGATGAATGCTGAATAAATGTTTAAGTGGATGGAAAAATCCCTGACTCTCTGGGCTTTTTTCCTTCATGTGCAAAATGAGAGGACAGGATAAAGAATTTTAATATATCACTTTTATGACTTCATGGTTTTGTGTGTGTGTTTTTTTCTTTTGAGGCGAGGGGTTGTTTGTTTGTTTAAATATATTTTTATTTATTTCAGAGAGGAAAGGAGTGGGAAAGAGAAATAGAAGCATCAATGATGAGAGAAAATCTTTGATTGGCTGCCTCCTGCTGGGGATCTAGCCCCCAATGCAGGCATGTGCTCTGACCAGGAATCTAACCATGACCTCCTGGTTCAGTGGTGGACACTCCACCTCTTAGCCACCCAGGCCTATGACATCATGCTTTGATTCAGTGGTGAACAAAAAAATACTAAAAATATTCAGCATGGAGGTGTGAGACAGAGAGTGATATTTGAGAGCGATTATTAATCAAGATCCTTTTGACAAGGGTTTGCTACATGAATCAGAAAGAGAGAGGTAGAGTCAGAGACAAGCAGAGAAAACCAGCCCCCTACATATGTATGGACCCTGGAAGCTGGTCAAAGAGGAGCCTAAGGGGTCGTTAAGGCCAAGCATGCAGAGAAAAATACACATTTAACAGAGTTAAATATGTCTGAAGGTTGGTCGGTAGGATTGCAAGATATATCTGCAAACATCTTTATGACTGCAGCTCTGCTGCGGAACCAAGTTTAAAGGGTTTTATTTTACTATTTATGGCTGTATTTCCTTGTCCTGACTGCCATATTATTAGATCACCAGATTTTTAAGTTCAGGAACACGATCTCAAAACAGAAATGAGGACAAAGAGGTCCAGACCAGGAAGCAGGTGGTGCAGAGGAAAGCGGAGGAAGCATGTTCTAATTTACCCACATAGTTTTATATTTTACATTAAAGTGCCCTTGCATTCTAAACTCGCCATTAGACTCCACGCTTTGTGGCAGGGTGGGCTGTTAGACAAATGTGTGTCTGAAAGCACTGTAACTTATTAGTTAAATGAATGTGTGGTTTCTGAGTTTGTATCCTGGATTGCTCTCTTGTTGTTTGGCTTGGATTTAGAGAGAGAGGGAAAAAAAAAAAAAAAAAAGATGTGGAATGATCAAGAGAAAAGGGCCTTGATAGATGAAAATGTTTCTGATGCAGAAAGGGTGACTCCAATAGAAATTTTATGAACCAAGTGAAATGGATATAAGATCCTTTGAAATGTGGCCATTATGTAACCTGGGAAAGAATTCAAGAAACTTGCAGATTTGGTAAGAAAAACAACACCGTGCCATGACTGCTAATGCCCGTTCCCCAAGCTAAAGATCGTTTCTAACCCTATGACTTTGAAACTGAGGAAGACCCAATGAATCCATTGCAAGCAGGCTGATGTTCGCATGCCATATGGTCAGCTTCAGAATCCCAGCTCAGTCCGGCTGGCGTGGCCCAGTGGTTGAGCATTGACCTATGAACCAGGAGATCCTGGTTTGATTCCTGGTCAGGGCACATGCCCAGTTATGGGCACGATCCCCAGTGTGTGGCATGGAGGAGGCAGCTAATCAATAATTCTCTTTCATCGTTGATGTTTCTATTTCTCTGCCCCTCTCCGCTCCTCTCTGAAATCAATAATAAAAATACATATTTTTTAAAATCCCAGGCCATGTGCTTGCTTCGGCAGTGCATACATAAAAATTGGAAGGACACAGAGAAGATTAGCATGGCCCCTGCGCCAGGGTGACATGCAGATCTGTGAAGTGTCCCGTAGTTTTAGTGTCAGGTCATGAGATGTGACATTTGAGGGCAACGAAGCAAGTCTTCCCAGTGCAGGACGCTCCGAGTCTGCTCCTTACGACTCTTCATCTTCTCTGTTTGCCCAAAGGCTGCTTTCTCTCATGGTTGTGTGTACAAATCAATCTGATTTTGCATTATTCAAAACAGTTCCAGCTTAAAACAGTTGAGTTTACATGGGCAAGGGTAAAGGGTTAAAATATTCTGAATGCAATGCACACATATAAAAGAGACAAAGGACGAGTGGGCAGTGGCTGTTTTGATTGGACATAATCCCTTTTGATGGGCCCTCCTATACATCAGAGCTTGGTCAGCCGCGTTTCTCAGACTCCCTATCAGGTGTATTCTAAATGGAAATTAGATTCCCCCGATCTGGTGTGGGCACGTGAGACTGGGAAGCAGGAATGGAGTGTGAGGCTTTGGCATTTGATGGTGATGTCCGCAAACGCTGACATATTAGCTTTCCTCCCGCCGTGACCCGTCCGTGGCTTTGAGAAAGATGGGGGACGATGTGGCAGGGGAGTGACAGCTGCTACCTCCCGGGACTGGAGGAAGGCCTCTGACTCAGTTTCCAGCGGAAGCCACCTGCAGCCCCAGTCTGAGGCACAAGTACAGCTCTCCGACTGGGCCTTGGGAATCAGCCCGAAGTGAGTTCTGGAAAGTCAGCCTCTTGCTGTCCTCTGACTGATTTTTTAAAGAAACTAATTTCCTGTGTTTAAACATTCTTCATTAAGATGGATAGAATGGCTTCAGTCTCCTGCAGCTGCATTTCAACAGATCTATCAATGACTGGAGAGTCTGCTATGGCCCGGCATTTGCTTCATGTCCTGATTTTTAGTTTGTTTGAGTTGCCTTATTTCTGCTCTTTCAGTAGGTTTTCTGGTTTGTTTTGTTTTGTTTTTAGGCTGGAATAGAGAAAAAAGGAACTGGAATATCGATGTCTAGTCAAGAACCAACCTCATAGTAGCAGTAATACCTTTGAATTACGGTGCGCTCACATCAGATTTCATATATATCTCTATATCTATATCTATATCTATATCTATATCTATATATATATATATCACACACACACACACACACACACATATGTATATATATATGGTGTTGCCAAAATGTATACACTACTAAAAGCTGAAAGCTCAATTGATGTTTCCTTATTTTCAGATTTAACCCATTGGAATTGATAATTATTCAAAGTGTGTGTACATTTTTTGGGACTCCCCATATATATTTGCAGAAATAGATGGATAATATTTAGCATGCTAGTCATCCTCTCATTTAGACACCTTCATAAGGAGTCATTAGTTAAGTGACTGGGTGAAGTCCTCTATTTAAAATTAGAACAAATAAAACTTACCTTCCCATCTGCCAGTCACCATACTGATAGATTTGGGTTCTTGTTCAAATGAGAACCAGGAGGCACATTCCTAGAGAATTTCCTGTGTGAAAAATTAATAGCTAAACAGGCCGCGCTGGGCTGGAAAACAGTGTAGCTTGCAAAAAGCAAACGCACTGAAATAAGATGGAACACGTGTTCAGGAGGAGCTAACATTGCCTACCATCATTCCGTTTCTAGTGAAGTAAATCAACATGTGCCAGTGACCGGGAAAAGCTCCATAGTGGTGAGCTACAAATACAAATTTATATCCAAATCCTGAAGTAGGTTCGGAAAGACTGGACATTTTAATGAAGAACATTCCATCCGAAACACAAAGTCGGGAGATGACATTTTTGAGTTTACATGCGCATGCAGGGCAGCCCTGGAAAACCCCTGAGCTTTGTCCGCAGGACCCTGCCCAGCTGTGCTCGCTGCCCCAGGGTCACATAAACTGGCTCTGATGAATGAAACTCGGTGTCATCCTTTCCCCTTCCTGCATACCTTTTATGAAATTGACTAGTTACTTGACCCGGTTGCCAACAAATACTCTGATTTTTTTTTTCTCTCTGCATTTTTCTGAACTGTAGGGAATAAAAGACTCAAGGTTGATTAGGTCCAGTCAGAATTTTAAAAATGAAATGAAAGCAGAATAAAGAACACAGATGATTCCATTGCCTTTCTCCATGTGGTCATCATTGAGAAAAACAAAACAAAACACGGTCATTTAGAGTCTTGAAAATACTTCCATGTAAAATACCAGAGGAAATATGAGGAAGAATATGGACACCCATTCTCTAAGGAGGGTCCATCCTGATTCAGCAAAGTTCAAAACTTCGAAAGGGATTTCAGTCCTGAGCTTCTCCATTTTCCATCGCTGGGGAAAATCTGCTAGGGGTTTTCACGAAATGCAAGGAAGCGTCCCCGAGAAGAAGGCTGGCCTGCGCCATTGGGGACGCTGCGTCGGTGAGCTGGCGCTCGGGAAGCCTGTGGAAGTCGGGGTCAGCTCATCACACCCCCAGGAAGAGCTGTCCGTCATCAGTGGGAACCTGAGCAGCTGTCCGGCCAAGCAGCTGCGCATCACATTTAGTGAAGCGTCTTAAGGATTTCTTTTCTTTCTTTTTAAATGTTGGAACGGTGCTATGCGCATAGCATTTTAGTGGTTCCTGTGTGATTTCAATTTTGTCTCAGGAATTCCAGTATTCATTTCACGTCCGTGTAGTCAAAGTTTTTGTAAGAGGAGGAAGAAATCCTACACTGGTAGGGAGGTGATGTATTTTCTCTCAGGATTTACGAATCCTTTCATATGCATTCCCCAATGTGTCTGGGAACACTGACACTTCTGTGTCTATCCATTTTAGCACCTTCAGTAATTCTTAGACTCCTTGACTCGGAGACCAAGTCTTATTCACCTTCAGTATCTCCCCTGGTATTGAGCTCATAGTTACATCCACTAACAAATTATTGATTACCTGGTTAAAAATAACTCATGCAGGGCATATGAAAGAAAAGCAGTTTTCAGTAAGTTTAATCAAGACTTTTGTCTCATTCTCAAGTGGTTACTAAGATAATAAAAGCAACTATTCCTTCTGATCTCCATTTAAACATCATTCTTCAGGGGGAAAAAAATCACTGATATTCATCCACTACCCTCAACCCTCCCTATGACTACCCATCCCCAGGCCCAGCAATGTCTGGTCGCCCTGTCTTCACTTATAAACTTCACCTCAGCTTGCCAGTTCCATTTAATTTTGTGGTTACTTCATTTATGTCTCCTTTACCACATTTTACTACAATAGAGTTTGGGAAATAGTATCATTTTTATAGGTATTATACACATACAAGATCTGGGTCAGGAGAGAAGGGGGAGGGAAAGAGGCCTTCAAAGGTTATTATTATATTTATAACAACAGCTTTATGTAAGCTTATTTTTAATTATAGTTGACATACAATAATATATTAACTTGCAATGTGCAACTCAGTGATTCAACATTTATATACCTTACAAAAGCGATGAGCACTATACCCACCGGCCACCATACTCGGTTAGTAAGATACCATTGTCTCTGTTCCCTAGGCTGTGCTGAACATGACATCTTACTGACTTACTGTAATAACAACACGGAGTTTTTACTGATTGAATCTGTCACCTGGAGCCCATTCCTCCTCTTCCCACCGTACTCTCCCACTTTGACCAAAGAATGCATTTATAAGACAGTCAGTTGGCCAGGTTGAGAGGTGCGGTTTTTGGAGAGGTTTCACTCTGTATCTGTGTGTCATGAGGTCAGGTCCATAACGTAAAGTAAAGGATGCTGAGGACTTGGTTACGGTCCAGACGATGTTTAATATTGGTCCTGCCCAAGGGTCTATGGAGCACTGGTTCCTGGTTTGTGTTGCTCTGTGGTAGCAGTCCCCAAGTGGAGCTGTAGAGAACTGCCGGGAGCCGGTCCATGCTTGCTGTTTCAAGGGACCTGGCATATATGGCATACTGTTCTTAATATGTTTGCTCACCTTCTTGGTACTATGTGTTTTAACCAAGGTCTCTGAGAAAGGTTGTTTCCCCAGGTAGGGATTTTCCCCTGAAGTTAGGGAGGGAATAAAACCTCTTAACTAAGTGCCAGGCGGGTAATTAATCACTTTAACTACGAACAATCATGCTTAAGCTACATAATCTTTACTCCCTGGAATGGAGATAAGAAACGCCCTAACCTTTGGAATAGAGATTGATAGGATTGGAATCAATTGGTATAAATACAGATGTAACAAGACAGAACTTAGAACACAGAACTTAGAAGACAGAACCAAGAGGCACAGAACCTACACACAGAACCTAGAGACAGAACCTACACACAGAACCTACACACAGAACCTAGACAGAACCTAGACACAGAACCTACACAGAACCTAGACACAGAAGAACTTCGCTGGAGAGAACATGGCAAAAGATCCTGGACAGAAACTGGAGACAGAACCTAGTGAGAGAACATGGCAAAAGATCTTGGACAGAACCTGGCTACAGAACCTGGCAATAGAACCCAACCATGCTGATCAACTGAATGCTGCCTCTGTGTCATTCCTTCTTCGCCAACTCCGAGAACTGACTGAAGAACCTAGAGACAGAACCTGGCTACAGAACCTGGATAGAACATGGCAAGAGAACCTGACTAGAACCTGGTGACTGAACCTGGCTAGAGAACCTGGACAGAACCTGGCTGGAGAACCTAGCAAGGAGACATGGCTACAGAACCTGGCTGGAGAACCTGGAGAACCTGGCCGGAGAACCTAGCAAGAGAACATGGACACAGAACCTGGCTGGAGATCCTGAACAGGACTTGGCTGGAGATCCTGACCAGAACTTGGCTAGAGATCCTGGCTAGGCTGCTGATCAGCTGAACACTGTCTCCGTGTCCTTCATTCTTTGCCGACTCCGTCTACGCCTTTGGGAACCCCTGGACCCGCTGGGGTTGGACCCCGGCAGAGAACAGCAGCTTTCACCCTGCACACCACGCACAAGCTTGTTGCGGTTCTGCTTGTGTGGGAGACACTCATATTTCTCTGCATGAAGACCTCTCCAAGCCTGTCAAATATTAATGTCATTGCGAC